TCGCGGCTCGCCGAGAAGGGGCGTATCAGGTAAGAACCAACGCCCAGTTTCTACTGCTGATACTGTGTTGTCTAGTATTGTAAGAGGTGCTAGTATGGGAGGGTTTCTCTTAAACTCTACCACCATTTCTCCGGTTTTGTGTGTGTTCAGTTCCAGATTGTTCTGGTCACACCATGAGGCAAGTTGTTCAACCTTCTGTTTGTATGCGGATTCATTGTTGTCTCGAATGAGACCAATCACTGTTGTATCATCTGCAAACTTCATTATTTTAACAGGTGGGTGGTTTGAGATGCAGTCATTGGTATATAGGGAGAAGTGGAGAAAGCACACAGCCTTGGGGGGGTCCCTGTGCTAATTGTACAGGTATCAGATGTGATTCTGCCGAGCTTCACCTGCTGCTTCCTGTCTGTTAGGAAGCTTATGATCCACTTACAAGTGTGTTCAGGTACTGCTAGCTGGTTTAGTTTAGTTAGAATAATGTTTGGAATGATGGTATTGAATGCTGAACTGAAGTCTATAAAGAGGACCCATGCATAGGTATTTGCGTAGGTAGGTACCTATCTAAATGATTCTGGATAGTTAGTAATATTAAAAACAATGAAACCATATTCAAAATTAAACAAAACAGCAGCTAAGAGAAAATAAAAAAACAAACAGCACAGCCAGGAAATTTGATCCATCCAACATTCAGGCTCCCAAGTTCTAATATAGAACCAAACCTTTGAGGCTTTGTGGAAAGCCAGCAGAATCAGGACCAATCTGATCTCCAGATTTCAGAAGCTGGGCACCAGAACAGAAAAGGCTCTATTGAGTACAGCCTAATGGCAACATCACCACCCAACTAACTGTGTTTTACTGGTTGTTAGATATGTGTTGTATTATTGGCTTTAACCTAGGAACCAAACTTTTGTTGCAATTTTTGTAATCTATGTTATGATCTACAATGAAACGCTTTTGATGTGTGGGCCATTATAACAGCTATAATTCTCTAAAGCACAATTTCTGGTCTATGGCACATGGCAAACAGTGCTGGGTAATGCGGTGTGGACTTCAATTAGTATGAGAATGAGATACTAATTCATAACAGCAAAAGAAGAATAGTGCTAGAAAAGCGATGTATTTTTAGTATCTGATAACAATAAAGTTCAAGGCCAGTTGCTATCATTTTTTAAAAATCTAATTTTGGATTGTAAACATACTAGTTTTAAGCATGTTTCCTTCGCTTCAGGCTGTTGTTGACTTGTTTTCTTCCCAAAAAGGAAACAAAAAGATTTCTTGATTTTCATAACTGTCAGGAAAATGATTGGGAGTTGGTATTGAAGGCTATCTGCTTTAGTCAATTTTATCAGACTAAAAGACTGTGATTTCTGTTTTCTGTAGTTCAGTATTTATAGAAATTTTAGAGGATTAACAATATGCTTATCATATAAACTTTATGTAGTGATTTCTCACAAGATTCTTGTTTTCTTCTGGGAATGCTGACATACCTAGTTTTCCTAAGATACCTATGTTAGTAACCAGGAAAATTCAAAGGAGGATGAATGTCAGACTACATGGTTGAAAAATAGATTGAAGGTCCATAGTTTTAGATTTTAATTCTATACAATTGATGTTTCTGGAAATGGATTGTTATGACATACTGTATTGAATGATGATGACATAGCACATGTAAAACTGATACCATGGCAACTTTAAATGTCTACACATTGGGCAGTATCTGAAAGCTATGAAGAACCTCCAACAAAGGCAGCCAGGGAAAAATTGTGTTTTTGAAAGAAAAATCATTGAGAATGCAGAGCTTGCTGTGCTTTCAACGAGTGAAGTAAATGACACGCTGATAGGATATAATGTCTGTGTGTATCCTACTGATATTATGGCAACCTTTATTATTGCAGCTCTTTAATTTTATCGCAATCTGACTCCCTTCTCAGTTTGATTCTTTCTCACATCAGACTACCATCCCAGCTGGCATAAAATGTCATTATAAAATACTTATTAGACAAATTAGAAGAAAGAATTTTGCTTTATTGTTTGATTCGCTATGTAGTTCAAAATGAATTTAGCTGGAAAAAAACGTGTATGTGATTTTTAAGCATAGAATTCTAATGTTAACAGCCAAGGTCTGTTTTATATATTTGGGTCGCCTATAGTAAGTACAGTGCGGAGTTCCAGGGATCTTTAATGAAGAGCCTATACCATAGAACTCAATTTCATTGAGGGCCACATCAGGGTTATGTTTAATCTTGGGGGGGCATGACCAGGGGGGCATGGCCAGGCGCTTGACATCACTCATTGGGGGCGCCTATGGTGGCCCGAGCGCTCTGCCACTGAAAATGGACTCCCGAGCTCTGTTTTTGGCTGCGACAGCCTCCTGCAACTGTCTGCCAGTGAAAAAATAATTTTCGCTATTAGAGGGTTTCAGGACGCCGTCGCAGCCAAAAACGGAGCTCGGGAGCCCGTTTTCACTGGAAGAGCCATGGGCCGATCCTTCACTGTTTCCAGGGTGGCCCTGCAGGCCAGATCTAAGCACCCCATGGGCCAGATCCAGCCCCCGGGTCTTGAGTTTGACACCCCTGCCATAGAATATAGATTACTTTGTTGTGCACTCAATTATTAATAATTTTGTGACTAGTGAAGGTAGAGCGTAGGAATATGGAATTTAATTTGCTATTCATCTAGTTTTAGCCATGAAATATTTTGCTCCATTACTGCTGATGAAATTTACCATTTTGTTTCTATTTTCGCCCAGCTTTCTTTTTGCTTAACTTCTTAATTCTTTTTAATACTTAATTCTTTATTACTATAATAGAATAGTACAGTTTGTAAAATGCAACTATTTGATTCTTTCTTTATATTTCTTACTATAGTGTCATAGAATATGAGCAGGTTTTTTTCCCTGTGTGGAATTATTTAGCACTTTTGTAATATATTGCTTTTCTGCTCTAGAAAGCTGATGCATTTTGCATTTGTCTTAAAATTTCAGGATGGCGTGCTGCTATCATGAAGTAGATAGCTGTTGGGAACAAATAATTCAGCACTTTGCAAATGGAAGTACAAGTCATTTAGATGATTTAGGAAAATTGGTAATGTTTTGCTAATATTGTTAAGTGATAGGATGAAGAAGATATGCTGTTTTCTTCAGAGTTATAGTTTAAAAGTTAATCTAATATACAAACAACAAAACCAGGCAATAATGTACAAGGAAGAACAGCCCCACATTACTCTATTCTTCTCATTTTTATCATTGTTCCTGCATTATATCTTTTTTTACACACACACACACAAACACACACACACACACACACACACACACACACGATAATCCAAATAAAAAGTTTATATATAAAATATATATTTGTTTTATGTGTGTGTGTGTGTGTATAAATTTTACTCAGATTATCAAAATATGAAACACAAGTGAAAATAAAAATAATAGGGAAGAGGGAGGGGAAAAAGGAAATAAAAGTGTAAGGGAAAGGGGGGAAAAAAAAAGAAAAAAGCGTTAACTTCTATCTTTTTTCAGTATGGATTGCTTAACAAATTTTGGGTTCAATTGTGGCCATAAATCGAGGACTATCTGTACTTCGTATATACTAGCATTTTTTATAACAATAATAACAAAATTATAAGCAAATCCCAAAATAACGCAAACTTATCTAATCAGCAAATCCCAAAGTCAAAATTTCATTTTTTCTGTCTGGAGCACAACATCTAGAAGAAGTATTCCTTTATTATATCTAAGCGCAGTTTAATTAGCAGTAGAATATTGCAAGAACAAGCACTGAAAATGTGATCGTTGCATTTCTTGAGGTTCAGACAAAGGCATAATCATGCAAGGAATCCTGCATGAATGACCCCAGTGTTCATGTGTGCTGCAGTTAATTCCTTGTAAGTGCAGGTCATGAACTGAATGGATTTCTCACTGATCCTTGCAGGAGAATTTTGGCATTATAAAATATGTCTATCTTGCTCAATTCACTAGTGTTCTAACTAACCTTAAATTGTTAATTTGGGATTCAAAGAGCCATATAAATCTAAGCATGGCCTGCTAAAACAAATGATAAGTTGAGTGCTATTATACTATGGTTTGAGTGGAGTAGTGTTTTTATTTAGGTAATTAATTGGGCATTGTATTAACATTTTTATTTAACTCAGAATTAGCTTTGGAAAACAGTCTTATTATTAATCAGTAGTTAGCAGGGATACAATTAAGGATAAATTACAGTACAGTTGAAATGAAACAATTGTTAAGCAAAATTTTGCCCCATTTTACGACCTTTCTTGCCACAATTGCTAAGTGAATCACTGCAGATGTTAAGCTAATAACACAGACGTAAGATGAATCTGGCTTTCCCATTACTTTGCTTGCCAGATGGTCACAAAAGGTGATCACATGGCCCCAGGACACTGCAACTATCATAAATATGAGCCAATTGCTAAGCATCTGGATGATGGGGATGCTGCAACAGTCATAAGTGTGAAAAACAGTCACAAGTCACTTTGTTCAGTACTGTTGTAACTTCAAACGGTCACTAAATGATCCTTTGTAAGTCAAGGAGTACCTGTAGCCTGTAAAATGATTTACCTTAATAAACTGAATCCATTACGATCTTTTTAAGTCCGTGGATAAAGTATTTTAGATCTGGAACTGTGTTTGGAAGTTGTAGTAATGTATTTATCAGAGTTTGCAGTCCTGGCTACTAGCTTGGCTGGCTTCAAAAAGGACTGGACCTCATAAATGGAAATAATCTGTGCTAGATAGATAGATCAGTGCTATCAGCCTGTGGTGATAGCATGAATCCCTCTGAAGGCCATCTCTTGGGAGATTAGAGGACTTTCTTGTGCAATTGGTTAACTAGATTGGTAAGACTAGATTGCTGAACTAGGCCAGAGTTAGGCCAGAGTGATGCCGTAGGACACTTACTTATATTCTTATGTTTGTAATATTATCTTAAATTATTTGAATCTAACTTTTCCTGATATCTTCCTATTTTCTTTAGGCTTCCGCAGGAAATATACTACAAAATGAATGATCTTGCTATCAAAAGAATAACAAATGAAATTATCAAATCACCTGAAGATAAGCGAGAATATCGTGGATTAGAACTGGCAAATGGCATCAAAGCAATGCTTATCAGTGATCCCACTACAGACAAATCTTCAGCTACACTTGATGTGCACATAGGTATTTAATCAAATGTTTTGTTTTGGTTTTATATTGTATGATAACACAGGGTCACAAAATCTTTTACGTACGTGACTTAAGTACAATTATAAGTTTGCTTGCAAATTTCACTAACATTTCCCCCCCAAGAGTCAGTGGTTCAAATTAGAATTGATTTAGTCAGATTTGTATGTTTGCTGGGCACAGCCTGAAGATTTTCATGTTATTTTATAAACTTACATGTAGCAAAAGACCACCAAGAAATTAGATAAAAAATATAAGTAATCATAGGTTACAAGAAACAAACAAGCAAGCAGGAAGAGAGTAAAATGGTAATAATAGAAATCGTAATGTAATAGTAGTGGATCCAGCAACTTCTAATTGTGTTTATTGTAGTATACAATTTTGCTTATATTTTTCAAAAAGCTTGCAGAGAATGAAATAAACCACTAACCTAATAGCAATGTTTCTAAATATTTTCCTTTTATTTTTATGTAAAATAAAGTCTTGATTGACTTTCATGCAGTTTAGTTAACATTTCTTTTTTCTTTGCAGTTTCAAATGCTTGCATATCTTCACCTTTAATTTGTTAATAGTATATATTACTATGACTTCAGTGGAGATTTACGTGGAACTATTAATACTGAAGAAATTGTGTAGTAGCTCATATAACTAGCATGACTTAGCTGCAGAGTAAATAAATCTACTTAATTTATTTCATATGTTGATCTTTTTTGAAGTAAATAAAGTTTCCTATTGATTTTTTACAACTCTCCTATTTAAAAAAAATTCAATCTAATTATAGAAGTTTGACAGTATTTCTTCAATAAAACTGAAACATTTATAATGGCTTGTTATATTTCTTTTTCTCTCCACAAGGATCGTTATCTGATCCCATTAATATTCCTGGATTAAGCCATTTTTGTGAACATATGTTATTTTTGGGAACTAAAAAATTCCCCAAAGAAAATGAGTACAGCCAATTTCTCAGTGAACATGGAGGAAGTTCAAATGCTTTTACCAGTGGAGAACACACCAACTACTATTTTGATGTCTCACATGAACACTTAGAAGGTGCTCTTGATAGGTAAGCATATCGTAATTATTCAGTGAGTATATCGTTGACCACTGTGTGATTTTTTTTTACTGTGAAGAAAAGTTCTATTTAATGTACTCTGTACTTCTAGCATAACCTTTATTAGGACAGTTGAAATTTTAAGTGAACATAGTTATAATTCTTTTTCATACAACTTGGAAAATATTGAATTTTGCAAAAGAAGAAAAAATATATGTATCCCAAGATAATATTGCAAGATCCAATCTGAGTCAATTATCAGGTTTATTCTTCCAAGCTTTCGGGCATGTGCTGAAGCTCATCCTCATGAGGATGGGAGAATGGGCTCCAGCACAAGCCCTAAAACTTGGAAGAGTAAACTTTTGGTCCCAGTGACTGACTCAAATTGGATCCGGCAATATTAAATTTAGTGTTAACTACAAGAAGCTCTCATATGGAAGTAGGAAGACATTTTTACTCAAGATTCTGTTCTATCACCAGGGAATTCTGTCCAGTTTAATTTTTATTGACTTTTGTTGGATTAAAAAAACCGACAGTGAATATTCCCAGGTTTGCTATTATATATATTTCAATAGTTGCTTTCTGGTTTTTCAACTGGTCAGGTTTTATTCATCTTCCCATAGGATAGAAGCTACTTTGATTCTGACAGCTGGGATTTACGTTTTCAAATCTAAAAATTTTAAAATATTTGTTGTTGTTTTTTCATAATAAGCTTTGGGAAAATATTGATATGAAACTAATATGCACTTGCTCAATACAACTGTGTATGTATGAAATCTATCATTACATTTTATCAGGTAAATTAATGCAGAATGGATTACTCCATAATCCACTTCATCCTTTTTGTTTTCTTTACCAAGTTGCATAGTGAAATTTTTTTTAAACTTCACAATTTATTCAGTTAATTTAATAAAGGGACAGCTTCTATGGAGTTTGGATTATTTCTGCTTTTTTGAAGTAATCCTGAAATAATATTAAAATTATATTCAAAATGTTAAAAGTTTTTTTCCAGTTATTTAACATTCATATTTTATATATTAAATAACTGGAAAAAGACTGTTAATGTTTTGGATATCATAGTAAAATGTAAGATGTGATATATAAGCCCCCTGATTGACATATAAAAATAGTTTTCCAGGAAGAGTAAACTCAGCAGTGCTATAATGTGTAAGACTTGATGTCTGGGTTTAAATTTCCTTACTGCTTTATATAGCTGTGAACTTATTTCTGGTAGTCCTTGTTTAATGACCATTTGTTCAGTGACTGTTTGAAGTTGCAATGGTGTTGAATAAAGGAGCTTACAGCCAATCCTTGAAATTCCAGCTGCCACAGCATCCCTGTGGCCATAAGAGCAAAATTTGGGCCCACCCACATTTTTATCACATTTCTGTCGCCACTTGATTCTCATGGGGAAAGTGCTGTGGAAATGTCCCAAAGATTGTCAGATGAGAGCTACAGTTGGATAGGTGTGTGCTTCACCTGCCAATACTTTATTTTGTGTGGCAGCCAGCTCCTCTTTTGCGCATGGGCTGGGTTGTTCTTTTGGGCATATAGCCAGATCCTTCTTTTCTGCACTAGCCAGGGCTTCCTTTTGTGAAAGAAGGACCTCGTTGGTACACAGGAGGACAGTCTTTTCATGGTGGCACAGCTGGGGCCATCTTTCACAACAGGCCCTTTTTTGTATGCCACCCAGGTCCTTCTTTCAATAAATGTATGCTGGGATGTTCCATATGGGTTGCAAATGCCCATCCCATTCTAACCTCACTTAAATTGATAATAATTTGTGTTCCATATGAAGCAATTGCTTGAGGGTGATTCTGTGATTTCCAGCTGCAGTGGTCCAGTTGGGTAAATTAATAGAGACATAAGCAGAGGTAAATATCAAGGATGAACTAAAGTTATCCATCCTGAACTAAAATCTAAAGCGGTGTTCTATACTCCTATACTTATATTTATTATTTTAAACTTCAAAAATGTTATTGTATTTCAGTAAATTAATATGGAAAATATGGGACTTCCTTTGTATAGGTTTGCCCAATTTTTCTTGTGCCCCCTCTTTGATGAAAGCTGCAAAGATAGAGAAGTAAATGCTGTTGACTCTGAGCATGAGAAGAATTTAATGAATGATTCATGGAGACTATTTCAGCTAGAAAAGGCTACTGGAAATCCTAATCATCCATTTTGCAAATTTGGGACAGGTAATTAAGAATGCAATTTTACATTATTTGGTTTATTTGGCTATGAGGATATGATTCCTCATAGTTCAGTTACATTCAGTTATCATGCAAATTAAAATATATGACATATGTTGTAGAATCTTATTGATGATGCAGCTTTTATATTTATGATAATTAAATTTCCTTGATTGAGCAATGGAACTGACTTGTCAGAATAGAGCTGGAAGGGACCTTCGAGGTCTTCTAGTCTAACCCTCTGCTCAAATAGGAGACCCTATACCATTTTAGACAAGTGGCTGTCCAGTCTCTTCTTAAAAACCTTCAGGGATGAAGCACCCACAACTTCTGAAGGCGAGCTATTTCACTGGTTAATTGTCCTCACTATTAGGAAGTTTCTCCTTAATTCCAGGTTGCTTCTCTCCTTGATTAGTTTCCATCCATTTTTTTTCTTGTTTTGCCTTCTGCTGCCGGAAAATAAGTTGACTCCTTCTTCTTTGTGGCAGCTCCTAAAATACTGGAATACTGCTATCATATCACCCCTAGTCCTTCGTTTCTCTAGACTAGCCATACACAACTTCTGCAACCATTCTTCATATGTTTCAGTCTCTAGGCCTTTAATCGTCTTAGTTGCTCTTCTCTGCCCTTTTCCCAAAGTCTCAACATCTTTTTTGTAATGTAGTGACCAAAACTGGATGCAGTATTCTAGCCATAGTCTTGTGAGCTTTTCTGGATGTTTGCTATTCCTGCCAGCTTAGTCATCTGCAAATTTGATGAGTTCCTTTTCTATTCCCTCATCTAAGTCATTTATGAAGATATTGAAGAGTACTGGGCCTGAGGTAGAGCCTTGTGGTAACCCGCTGCTTACTACCCTCCATGTAGATGTAGTACCATTAAACACTACTGATTGAGTATGGTTTGTCAGCCAGTTATAAATCCATCTGGTGGTGATGTCTATTCCACATTTTTCTCACTTACCAAGAAGTAGGTAGTGGTCTACTTTGTCGAATGCCTTACTGATATCTAAGTATATTCTGTCCACAGCATTTTGAGGTCTACTGATTTAGTCACTTTGTCAAATGAAATAAGATTGGTTTGGCATGATGTTTTTAACAAACCAATGCTGGCTATATTCAAGATCAGACAGGTATTTTCTTACCATTTTCTTGCTGATTCACTGACAGTGGAAGTAAGAAAAAAAGGAAGGGAATGAGAAATGGAAGAAATATCTAGCTATAAGTAATTTTAATAAAATTCAGTAAGTATTATCTTGGCCATCTATTCATCAGCATTATTTATTATATCAGGACAAGTTAAACCATCAAAGGATCTAAACCAGGGGTATCAAACTCGCGGCCCACAGGCCAGATGCATCACACCCGGTTTAGCGAAGGAGAAAAAAGTCCCGATATGTCGCGTGACGATGCAAGTTTGACACCCCTGATCTAAACCATAGTCTAAGTTTATGATACGCATCCTCTGCCATCCTATCTTGGGTGTGTAGATTCTGGTGGGAGTAAGGTTAGGGATTCATAGGTTATGACTAACATCTTGAATTGGCTCTGAAAACAAACTGGCAATCAGGGTAGTGACCCAAATACTAGTGTGATGTGATAACATTGGGCTGTTCTCATTAACAAGTAGGCAACTGCATTCTGTACCAGTTGCAGTTTCCAGATAGTCTTCCACTACAGCCCCTTATATTACCATAGCTAAACATGAAGTGAGAAGGGCATGAGTGACTTGCTTTTAGTGGTTGTTCCAATAATAGATTTAATTGGGACATTAGCCAAAATTAAGTAAAAGTTCTCTTGGGTATGGCTTCCACATGCTCTTTTGGTAGGAACTGTTAATTTAGGAGTCCCCCAAAGTTATGGATGAGCTCCTTCTGGGGAGTATGACTCTCTTCTAGACTTAACTTAAGGTTGGTACTGTTTTGGAGTCAAGTAAGTCTGAATCAATTGCCACTGTATCCTTCTTGGGTTAAGTCATCCTGTTTTTCCACATCCAGCCCTTGTAATCTTCAGATACCAGGTCAAGACCTATACTGCCCTCATTCAGTATTATTGGCTAAAAGTTCATTTTTGTTGTGTGTGCTATTTGGAAAACTCTTTTAAGTTGTTTTTTTTTTCTTAATGTTTGAATTTTCAAAAGCAAAGCAATGCTAGATACCTGTATTGCAGGTCATTATATTGTTATTATAATAATAGTCTGTAATCAAAGTGTGTAGGCTTGATGAGTTAGTTACGTTTATTCATACTTGAATATAATTACAACCGTTCATAAACAAAGATAATTGTTTTATATTTCTGTGTTCTCATTATTTTAGAAATTGTCTTCATATTATTTGCTTTATTGTTTCTTGTTTTAACTTTACCATTATTATAGTATATCATCTAAGAGTGACAGCTTTATTTTGTATAGTACCATAGTAATGTTTAAGACAATATGTTGGAAATAGACATTATAGCCTTGGTTTCTTCTTTTCACTACCAGAAAATTGTAGAAATATTACAGAGTTTCACATTTAGACAATATATGTTTTTAATCTAAATTCTAGAAATAGTTCTCCCTGCATTAATACAGAAGAATGTTAAAGTAATCATTGCTCAAAAATAAGTGAGTGAGCTGCAAGGACAGCCCACCACAGTTTATTCCCCAACTGTCCTTCTCCAGTCATTGCCTTCCATTTCATCCTAGGTTGTGTTGGGCTACCTGCCCCAATCAGAAGGGACCTTCCCATGGAGGATCATGAAAAAGCAAAGAGTTTTTCTTTTCTTTTTTCATTTTACATTCATTAATTAAAAACTACTGCACAATGTTAAGATTTTTTAAGTGAAGATTTTTCTAGCAATAGTGGACTTTTTCCTGACAAACTACATGACATCGGCAACAGTTGTTCCAGTTTACCCTTCTGGTCTAGCAGACAGAAATAAAAATAGAAACTGTAGTGTTTTCAGGTGTTTTTTTTCCCCCTTCTCACCATACATTGGGAACAAAGCTGAAGAATGGATCCAGATAAATACTGATTCTAAAGCAGACTCTATTTTCAGTGGGTTGCAACATAGGAGACAAGCAGGTTATGACAGCAATGCAGAAGAACCCTTCATTTTAACCTTCACTATTCCTTGACCAAGAGACTATAGTGCATAGGATTGGGAAGGAATTTCACTTAGTTGGCTTAAGAAAAGACTGATTCATAATAACAAAGTTTTCTTAAGATATCCCCATATCTAGGAATTTGGGGAGCCCTATCCATTTTTTTAAAGTTATGTGGCTTTGTCCAGATGGTCCTATTTCTTTAAGTGTTTTTTTTTAATAGCCTAAACCAGGGGTCCCCAACCGCCGGTCCGCGGACCGGTACCGGTCCGCGGAACAACCCTTACCGGGCCGCTGGTTGCTGGGCGCCGCCATCTTTTTTTTGGTAAAAAAGCGCTTCTGGTGAGCTTTTCCGGGTAGAAAGCTCACCGGAAGCGCCTTTTCGTCATAAAAAGATGGCGGCGCCCAGTTGACGCCGGTACCGGGCCGCGGCGCCCAGCTGATGTCGGAACCGGGCCGCGGCGTCGAAAAGGTTGGGGATCCCTGGCCTAAACCATTCAGAGTGCTTTTAGAGTCAGGCAGCATCAAAATCCAATAAATAAGTACTGAAATTATCAAATTATAGATAACAAATTTTCTCAATACATTAGGATCACAAAGCATAGCTGAACGATAGGTTCACAGTTCATATACCCTGAGAAATATGCTTAACAAACTAGGGTTTGCCTGCGTAAAAAGAAATCATTAGCCAATTTCTTCTTTTTTGCTTTAATAAACCATGGGGTTTTTTTTAATCAGGAAGACTGATTGATAAGTGCATAATATTTTTTGTTCCATCTCGGTTAGAGGATGCTAATTAATGACCTCTACGGGTAATGTAGAGATCACTGCAAGACCTCTATTATTTTTGGTTGGTGAAAAATTCAGTTCTACATTTCGAGTTGCAAATTATTTTTCTCAATTCATATCACATACATTTCATGCATCTAACAGAACTGCCACGATCTTTTGGGAAACATGCATTAGGAGCTCCATGCCTATTGACCACAAGATACCCAGGAGTTTTCCCCAAGCTCATGGGATGATCTGATGAGTTGAAAAATATACTCATCAACTTCCCATATGATTGTGCAGTTTATGAGAATACATGCTTCTTTCCCTGCTATATCTTTTTTTCTCTAACACATTCTTTATTTTACTCTTGCTTTATAGGGAACAAGTACACTTTGGAAACTAGACCAAACCAAGAAGGAATAGATGTAAGGCAAGAGCTTTTGAAGTTTCACTCCACTTACTATTCATCAAATTTAATGGCTGTTTGTGTTTTAGGACGGGGTAAGAATGGCAAGCATTGAGAGAATTATTTTGAAGTATTTAAATGTTATTAATATTTTATATAATAATAAATCATTTAGGAAATTAAACAAAAGCAAGCTTCATGTTCAGGAGTAAAAATCACATTCCTGGTTATAGCACATAAAAATATTAGAACACAGATACAAAGCACTTGGTATTATTTTGCAGATTTATTCTTTTCTGCCTTCTGTGGCTATTAGCATCACTGCTCTTTCTCTAAATTCATGTGATATCACAGTTTTTTAAAAAAATCATTTTACCGTATGATTATAAACCATGATTCATTTTATTGTTTCAATATAGCAATCTTTATATGAGATTATTATCATTGTATTATTTAGGTAGCTTAAAGTATCAAAAATAGGGAAAGGAAAGAAACAATTCTGTCATTAAGTAAAATTTAGAATATCAATATTATAAGCGTATTCGGTTTTTCATTTGAATATATTAAAATATATTTTATATATTAATCAAGAACCACTGTACTCACATCAAAGTATTGTTAATGTGATAATAGTTTTAATCTAAAGTAATAGTTTTAATCTAAAATAATTTAAACTCATTTAAATTTCCATTGTATTGCTATATTATTGATATAAATTAATAAAAGGAAAAAAGATAGGCAAATCAAATTTAACAAAGATAAAATATCTGCAAAGTAAAAAAAAGGATAATAATAATAACAACTATTACTATTGGTTTCTCATTTGTTTGCAATATTTGTAGACATTCAGACCCCTTTAAAACTGAAACTATACATGGTTATGATCACCATGCTCTGCAGTGTGTTTGCAAGTTTGGCCTCCATTTTGTCATACAATATTTTGTTCGTTCTGTCTCTGTATCATACTAAGAATTTGTATATGTACTCTTAATAGGTGGTCTTCGTGTTACATGAGCGTTTTAAATTGGGGGCGGTTTCCCTTAACATCCCTCCTTTCTTGAGATCTGATTTTATTTATATTATGTAGTGTAAAATACACTGACTGAATTCTGGATACAGAATTTCTGCAATAAGAAATATGTACTCTTAAGTTTTTAAATGTGTGGTTAAAAGAGAGGTTAAGAAGTCTATAAATGATCTTATTTTGTATATTTTTCCAATAAGATATCTTCTAATGTATAAGAGCTACATTATCAGAATTCCCAATAGGTAGAATTCTGGAAATTAAAATCCAACACACTTAAAGGGCCTGGAATAAATGATGCTGCTGTTAATCATTAGTGATTTCATTCTTTTTTGCAGAAACTTTAGATGAGCTAACCAAACTGGTAATGAAGTTATTTTCTGAAGTAAAGAATAAAAATGTTCCAATACCGGAATTCCCTGAGCATCCCTTCCAGGAAGAACATCTCCGAGTGGGTTAACATTCAAAATTACACTTTTGTTAAACAGTAGATGTAACAAGATAGTACTGGATATTTTCTGAAAAGTGGAGATTGTTATGTGCAAGTTCAACCATCTGTTTCCTGAAATTATAGGAAGTATTCCTAAAGTTGATGGTTTTAACCTTTATCTTACAAGGATAAAAAGTTTTAAATAAGGCTTTCCTGCTTTCTTTTTTTTTCTTTTTTAATTTTACAGCAACTTTACAAGGTGGTACCTATTAAAGATTTTAGAAATCTTTATGTCACATTTCCAATACCAGATCTTCAGAAGTACTACAAATCAAACCCTGGCCACTATCTTGGTCATCTTATTGGGCACGAAGGTCCAGGAAGTCTTTTATCAGAACTGAAAGCTAAAGGTAAGGTAATTCAACGTTAGCTGATGTGCTACTTGCATTAAACTTCTTGTTGTGGAAATGCTTCTGCAGATTGCCTTCATGATCTAAACACAATTTATCGCTCTTGCCCTAGGGTAGGGTCTATGATTTGAGAAGTGTTAACAGATGTCTAGTGGCAGGGGTGGGATTCTACCGGTTCAGACAGGTTCGGGCGAACCGGATGTTAAAGTTACATCTGGTTCGCTGAACCAGTATTTCAACCGACCGTCTGGCCCTGCCCACCCCGCCCCTCCCAGGAGTCTCCACACGATGCAAGTAAGTGCAGGGCTCGCGCGGAGGCTCTGGGAGAAGAAAAACGGGCCTTCTAGAAGACTGGAAACGGGCCTGTTTCTAGCTTCCGGAGAGCCTCCAGAGCCTGGGGGAGGCCGTTTTCGCCCTTCCAGAGGCCTCCGGACCCTTGACAAGGTGAAAAATGGCCCTCCTGGAAGTACCAGAAGTCTGGAAACTGACCTGTTTCCGGCTTCTGGTGGACCTCCAGAGCCCAGGGGAGGCTGTTTTTGCCCTCTCAGAAGCCCGGGGGAAGCCTCTGGACTCTTGGGAGAGCAAAAAACGGCCCTCCTAGAAGTACTGGAAGTCTGGAAACGGGCCTGTTTCTGGCTTCCAGTGGGCCTCCAGACCATTCGCAACATGGATTTTCAGTTATTTATTTTTAAAGAATGTTCCTAGTAACTGTTATTTCTTCCTGTGAACGTGCGCATGCACGCACACACACAAACACACACGTACATCAGGACTGCATTGTTCTAGGTAACCGAGAGGAAAGCCAACAATTTTGTGTTAAAGTATAGTCAGAAGGATAGACTTTTGGTTTAAATTTTCTCAGCTGGACAAGATTCCCTATAAAACTTTTATGCAGGTGTAGGACAAATATGGGAATGGTTGTTAAAAAAAAGGTATTGGTAAACAAGCTGTTTTCACTCACTGTTAAGAATTTATTCTTGGAGACTTATGTTCTTTGAAGTCATCCTTTACTGTGTTATAAGACATAATTCTATATATCATTTCATCTATATCAAATGAAAAATTTATGCATCTATGCAGTGATTATTATTGCATATCACGCAACCATACATGTATAACATAGCTAAGTGTGTCTATATCTAATGAAAACTTTTTGTGTATTTTTTAAAATGGCAAAAGGTAGGAAAGTACCTTTTCTTTCCATAAAGTATTGTGAAAGCAATTGGGTTTTGTTTTTGGAAATGCAGTGGTTCAAAAAAATAAACGAAGATGTGAAAAGGTGACAAGCTTGTCCCAGGTCAGGCAAATGCTGATTCTCTAAAACCCATGAACACGATAGAAGTCTGTTAAACTAATTACAATTAGACTTATATATTGCTCCATAGTGTTTTACAGCACTCTTGGAGCAGTTTACAAATGTCAGCATATTGCCCCCAACAATTGACCCCATCCAATTTCAGAAGGATGAGTGGTGGATGCTTCTGCTTCAAATTAAAAGAAAAGCTTGTCAAAATTTCATGCAGCAAAATTTCTACGCTTTGATTCCCTCCAATTTTCTTCTGATATATTAGTAGAAGACTAAACACACAATATAGAGCTTCCTGAATTACACTACAAACAAGCTGATTTCTTCTGTTTTCACTTTTTGCCTTGTTTTTCTTAAACAAGTTTTATTTGTGAAATAGTTAAAAACATTTTAAAGCATATTAAATCAAATTTCTATTTGTCTAAATGTGATGGACATTTTAACTCTACATATGCCAAAGGAATACTGTACATAATATATTTTAAAAACTAAGTGTCTTAATGTTCATGTTTGGATTGGCCTTGTCTTGACTTCAAAACATAAGTTTCATATTCAAAATTGCTGGTGTCATTGTAGAAGTATTATTGGTACAAAATTTCTGGAAATTCATTACTCCTAATGGTCACATTTTATCAGTTCCATTTATGATATTCCGTTGTAATATGTGAAGGCTATTAACCAGAAATGTATATATTGTCAGTGTTTGCTTAAAAATAATATAACTTTTTTAAAAATTCAAACAATGTTGTATATATATGATATGCTTTTATCATAGGCTGGGTAAGCACGCTGGTTGGTGGACAAAAAGAAGGTGCTCGAGGCTTCATGTTTTTTATTATTAATGTTGATCTTACTGAAGAAGGACTGTGTAAGTGGATCCCTTCAAATCATTTTGCTATGTTAGGGCTTAAATATCATTTAAATGTCATTTCTCTTATAAGACCTTCTGTATATCCCGCTCTGAAAAATATCCTGTAGTGTAGTAAAATGTAAACATTTAATTGGCTTTAATCACATGCAGTTTCATAGAGACAGGTACTCCTTGACTTATAACCATTCATTTAGTGACTGTTTAAAGTTAATTGACAGCAATGAAATCTGTGACATGACTGGTTTTCACATTCACAACCATTGTATCATCCCCATGGTTACATAATCAGAATTTGGGTGCTTGGCAACTGGCATGTATTTATGACAGTTGCTCTGTCCCAAGTTCATGTGATCACCATTTGTTACCTTTCCAGATGGCTTCCGACAAGCAAAATCAATGGAGGAAACCAGATTCACTTAATGACTTTGATTCACTTAACAATTGCAATGATTCAATTATTAACAACTGTGGCATATAGGTCATAAAATGGGGCAAAATTCACCTTACAGCTGTCTTCCTTAACAATTAAAATTTGGGGCTCAGTTGTGGTTGTAAGTTGTGGACTATCTGTACTATAGCAAGAAGGATTTTCTTATTTTTCAAAATGCTGCTAACAGTTCTATGTGCTTTTTCCTGATCTTACAAATGTGATAATTCCTCATGTTCTAAATCAGTAGTATCCAAATCTGGCAACCTTAAGACCTTTGGACTTCAACTCCCAGAATGACCTAGCCAGCCATTCAGTTTTGGGAGTTGAAGTCCACAAGTCTTAAAGTTGCCAAGATTGGACACCCCTGTTTTAAATACTGTTGGCAGTTAGAAAGAAAAACAGCTCCTGATAGCTCCTGATAATCAAATTGGTTTGAAAACTACCTGAAGCTATGCATGCATGCATACACCCAACACCTTCTTTCCCTGGCCTTCCTGAGCTTGTGCTATACTACAGTGGGCACATAAACTGCACCAGGCCTTCCATTGCCTCCCCAATCCCACTGCTGCGCACCTGTCCTCCGTACCTGGACTCTTTCCACTTGCCAGACTCTCTCTCCACTTGCATCTGAGGTTATGACAACTGCCAAGATTGCCATCACTAAGTGATGCAATCATGCAATATTGCATTTTCCAACTGCATTATTTTACAATGGAAATTCTGGTTCTAGTTGTGGTTGTAAGTTGTGGATTGCCTGTATAGTAATACGGGAGTTGTAATCCTAGAACTTTGGTGCCACTTTTGCTTTGACCTAACAAAACTAAAAATCCTGCATTTTTTTCTTGTACAGTACATGTGGAAGATATTATTTTGCATATGTTTCAATATATTCAAAAATTACGCACAGAAGGACCTCAAGAATGGGTTTTTCAAGAATGTAAGGTAAGATATCTTTACCAAATTATTTTCTATTGGCTTAAGGAGAATAATAAAAGTCTATCATTTGAGCAGGTACCTTAAATATTCTGGTTTGGTATTTCATGTTAGTGAATCTTAGAAAACCTATCATGAATAGAATATTAAGCAAGTAGCATCAAAATCTACAAGGGCTACAAAAGATTTTTTTTAATTCCCAAATCTACAAAAGGTTGTTTTTTATTCCCAAAGAAGTGAATTGATATGTCACATCCAGTACTAAAGCTGTTTGAAGCTAAAACATTAGCCCAAATATTCTATACAGTTCAGAGGGCCTATATATGAAGAAAAAGACATTTAGAGACAATACACACTAAGTTTTTAAAGATTTTTGTGGCACCGTGAGGTATCCCCAAGATAGTATCAGGCTTGAGTCTGCAATGTCAAAAATTGAACTGGAGCATGGAGAGTATTGGTGACATACTGGTTAAAGATCAGGTTTTTTTTCACACAGTGTTGCTTTATTAACAATTACATTTCACTGAGAAGAAAAGCAATAGAACAAAAATTTAAGAACATCTGGAGTGCCTCTAGATTCCTTACAAATTCAGACAATGTTCAGATTTTAAAAAAATGGTAATACAAAAGTTGAATGGCATGGAGTGTCATTCCAAACTCAGTTCCCTCTCTTGAGCCCTGAAAGCAACCCAGGCATGGGAATCCGCAAATACCTTCCTTTAGCTTGAGGAAGGACCTTTTCAGGGCCAACAACAGCCCTGAAAGCTTCCCATCCACATCATTGTGATCAATGCCAACTTTTCTGTCTCAGCACTTTTGGCTGATCATTCCAGGGAAATTGATCAGTCTAACATGTCTTTTACTATTGCAACTGTTACTGTATAAGGATCTTCAATAAGGCATTATAGTTTCCCCTTGTATTACATTTCCCTGGTAGAACAAATATATACCCTCTTTTTACTTTTAGCCTCAAATTTTGAAGCCACTGTCTGATAACTACATTTATTGTGGCAGCAGTTAAGACAAAGCAATAGTTAACATCAAACTATATGTTGTCCAAGAATACTATTTTTGTCAATAAGGATTGTCACAGATCTGGTAGAGATCACAGCCAGGGCAAAAAATTTTTTTACTGAATAACTATTACTATTATCTCATACTAAAAATACTCATATATCCAGAAAAAGAATTTCTTTGTGAAAAACTGAGCTTAGTAAGTATAACCTATGCAAATATATAGCAAACTACTGAATTCAATGGTGGTTACCCATACATTAGTTTGGATATTCCTATAAACATAGTCTGAATGAATGAACCTCTCATATATAGAAATAACTATTTTGAAACATTTTCCCAAGTAGTATTTTATGTAGGTAACTGTTCTGTATTAATTAAACTAATACAGCCTTCTCCAACCTAAATGCCTTCCAGCTGTTTGGATTTAAAATCCAATAATTTTAAGCAATGGCCATAGTTCTCAGAAGTGCCCAGAATTGCAGAAGACAAAAATAATAATGAAATAACATTTTTCAAGAAAAATGTATTGATATAAATATACATATAGTTTATCAAATTGCTAATGATCCTATTTTAATTCTGAAAAATAGTACATTTTTAGGTGATTCAGAGAATTGGCTCCATGTATTCATTTCAGCTTTAAAATAACTTGTACTTCAAACCTTGTATTCATTTATCATTATTATTGGTGAGATGTTTTCTTTGTATCTATATAATGCAAAGAATCATATTTTTATCCACTCTGGAACATTTATAATAACGTAAGCAGTCTTCCAATTCCATTCATGTGATTAATGATGAACAATAAAAATCAAACTAAATCTATGTTTAAGAAGAATTTTCTGTGATTTAAAATATGAAATCTGCATCTGCAAGAGTATTTTATCTTATTTTCTTTCTTTTGCTAGGATCTAAATGCTGTAGCATTTCGATTTAAAGATAAAGAAAGACCCCGAGGTTATACATCAAAACTTGCAGGGATGCTTCATGTAAGTTGCAACTTGTAGTAGAGCTATTTATGTTGGTATATAGCTTAGAATGTTGTATTTAATATTGTATTGCTTCTTAATATTTCTGAGACTTTTGAGAAAAGTTATTGGTAACAATGGGACTTGTAAGCAAAGCTTTGCTTTTGTACCTCAAGTAGACAAAGGTTGCTAAGATTGGCAGCAGGAGAAACAACAGGGCTGTGTGTTACTTTGAATGCTTATCCATCTCTCTGCAGGATTCAGGGCTCCAATAATAAAAGCAGGGTCAATGGACTGTGTGGAGTGTTGTATTTGGGTTCTCTGAGTGTATGTTTTGAAGTAGAGGTGAGAGAGAGGAAGAGCCAGTGGCAATTTCTGGTTCTTCACATGGCTTCAACCCTCTCTTTGTTCAGCTAAATGCAGGACTAAATCAGGGTTGCTACTATAAAGAGTGGTAGTTGTTGATGGTACGGTGACCAACGTCCTCATGTGGAGGACCATGAAATAGGATTGAGAGAACTGTCCTGCTTGTTGCTGAACAAATTTACGACATTCCTTTTCCAATCAGAAGTGATTTGATTTTACATGTTTACCTGCTTAATAAATAATTAGCATAATGTTACTGTGAACTAAAATATTTATTGCTTAAACAGTTTGATGTTAAAAGGTTACATTTTTTCATTATTGTTTGCATGACGTATTGAGTTTTACCGTATTTTAGTACTTTCAATGTGAGTCTGATGCCTGAACATCTAAAGTGCACGTAGGGCAGGGGTGGGATACCAGTTCGCACCTATTCGCTAAATCCGGTTGTTAACATTCTAAGCAGTTCGGAGAACTGGTTGTTACTGGCCTAATGCTGTAAGGAAGGCAGGAAGGAAACATTCTGGTCTTGCTTACAGAAACTGCCTCTCCATTAACCCTTATCACATTCTTGGCAGGACTAGACTTCCTGTCTCAGCTTCTCTGGGGTTTTTTTCCCCCTCCTTTGGTGGTACTTTGCTTGTGTGGAGTGACCATTCAAAGTTACAATGACACTAAAAAAAGTGACATGACCGTTTTTCATACTTATAACTGTTGCAGCATCCCCATGGTCACAAGAGGCCAGGCGAGGAGATGCGTGCCTCGATGTGAGTGATGTTGAGTTGGCCACACAGCCAGTTACATGACCACCAAGCCACGCCCACCCAGTCACATGACCACCAAGCCATGCCCACCGACTAAGCCATGCCCACAGAACCGGTTGTTAAAAAATTTGAATCCCACCCCTGATGTAGGGTAACATTCTCCCAGCATCTTATTTGCAATCTTCTAAGCCCATGTTAAAGAATTCATTTTAACCTTTAAATTTTTGAACATCCTTCCCACAATTTCAAACTGATGTTTCCTAATTTGGGCAGTTGTAAGAGGCAAAACACACACACACCAGTTAATCCTCCCTAGGACTTAAAGCATCCATTTTGTCCTTGAGTAAATTCATGGTTGTTATCAATAGAGAGACTTGAGCTTGCTACTCTTAAGAGTTACCATACAATTGCAGAGATATCCTCTAGGGGTCAGCATTTACTTGTTTTTATTCAATGTCAAGCCTATATTAGAATAGATGTTTTTTCTTCTGATCTGTTAATAGATCTTCTAAGTAGCGCCAATTCCTTGTTTCACTGTTATTGGGCATTTTTAAAACCTTTTTCAGTCTAAACTAAAAGTGTAACATTTTATTTTAGTACTATCCTATTGAAGAAGTTCTTGCTGCTGAATATTTACTTGAAGAATTTAGGCCAGATTTAATAGAAATGGTATTGGACAAACTGAAACCCGAAAATGTCCGGTAAGATGTATTGCCATATGTATTACTGTGATTTATAAATGGTACATCGTGATGCTTATTGAAAGATAAAGATTATATTTCTTCCCCAAATAACAAGGATTAGCATTCTAAACTAATTCCTCATTTGCCTCATTTTAAAATGTCTTTAGATGTCTTTGTGAAGACATTGCATGGAATAATAATTTGGGAGCAAAATTTGGTAGTAATTTTTATACTGTAATGAGAATTACATGCTTTTCAAATGTGATTATTTTAAGGAAGGGATTGTCATTCATTCAGGCTGTATGATGCTTTGAATCTGGTTTCAGAAAGATGCTTCTAAAACATAAGTGATCAGAAATGCAGTGCCTGTCAGCTGGCAAGAGCTCCTGGAAGCAGATATAACTGCTTTAATGAATTTCCTACAGGTGCTGCATTTCTATTCCTGCAGGCTCTGAAGCACCTTTTGAGAACAGAATCCAAAGCATTACATTGCCTTTCTAAATAAATTCATCACTGTTTGTTCACTTATGGAAAGGGAATTCAACCTAATAGGTGTGACACTGGACTAGAAGTGAGGGCAATCTGAAATCTAGTCTTGGCTGAGGCATGTAAGCCAATTGGCTCACTTTCTGTCAGCCATAGAGAAAAAGAAAAGCAAACCATAATCAAAAACACTGCCAAGAAAACTGCACAGATTTGTCTAGGTAGTCAGCAGGAGTCAAAACTGACTCAAAGGCATCCCTCCCACTTTCTATATAATACTAATTTGCATTCATTCATAATGCTTTCACTGTTAGGTATGATTAGGAGGTGTGGCTGAATAAACCCTGAGAAGACTCAAAATAAGCAGCACCTGCCTCCCTCTTTTATGAATCTACTTTTCTTGTTTTTGTTATGATTAGTGTTTACCTTCCAAGTCAGAACCAGGGAATATAATTTGAAGTCGATTTCCAATTTGGTTGGGGAGTTTCATTTCTTGGTTTGAAAATTGAAAAGCTTTGCTTTTAAGTAGCAAAAATAAAAAATAAAAAATAGAACTCAGCAGGAAAAAGGGAAATTATAGCTCATTCATCATGCATTCATTTATTCATTCAATTTGTATCCGGTGTTACTTCAGCTCAGGGTGGTGTACATAGTGCTCCCTTCTTCTATTTTTTCCTCACGAGCAAACCTTGAGGCAGATTGGGTTGGAAGAGAGCCCCAAAGTCACCCTTTGAGCATTACACCAGATTTCTTTTGAGGATCATCTGAACTGAGTCATCATATCTCTTTGACAAAGGAGAACCATGAGTTCCCTTTTCACATGATTGCTCTAGAGCTGAAGTGCACCACTTCCTCCAGCTTGAGTCTCCTCCAAATTCTGTGTAGCATGACAAAGGACACATTCCAAATGTTTCTGGTGTGTTTGTGTGTGTGTAGAAAGCTTTAAAAGGTCAAACTGGTACCTTAACTCTTAAATACACCAATGTTGCTATTTAAAATCTCCCAATATAAAAAAAAACCTCTACTTTTTTGTCCCTGGTAAGAGGTATTTGTTCCTTCCTACAGCCTCCTTCTTGAAAGAAACGGGTATTGAAAAGAAAAAAAAAAAGTGTGAAGAGAGAATGCCTATTGATCTTTACTTCTACTGGTATTTGTGAAGTCTGCTCATTTTGCTGCCTCCAACAAATGATTTGTGAGGGAATAGAAAACAGGAAAAAAATGGTCTGTTCTTGTTCTGGTAATATTGAGGGTCTGGAGGTTTTTCCCGTTCGTAATACAAGAAAAAAAAATACTCCTATCAACCGATTTGTTGTTTGCTTAGCCTCAGTTGCATTAGCATTACTAATAGAACATGTTGCTCTAAATTTGTCCTACAGTTTCTATAATTAACTGAATGAAGGCAAAAAAACCAAACAAACCAGCAATTGCCCAGTGGCAACATTTTTTTTTTCATTGGCAATGAGTAAATTTATATAGGGTATGATGATAATTGTGTTATCTTAATGTTCACAGTCTTTATAGAATAGCCATCTATATTGTAAAGATAGACTTCCCACTGTTGTGTAAATAATTTACTCTCTCTTTTATTGCTAAAAATCTTGATTTTTTTGTGGGGGGGGGGTACACTAGAAACATTTAGATAAGCAGCATTCTATCAATGTCAGTAATGGAGCTGTTACCATGGAAACTAATCTCAAAGGGAAATAAAGCTTCTCATGTTACTCTATTGTGCTTTGTATTCATACATAAAATGCAAAAAGGCTATGTGGACTGTTTATGGCACAGAAGATACATGTTGATATTTTATTTGGCAGGGAAGAACAAGTATAAATTGAACAATTGTTCCACTATTTGTTTAGTTCTGGCCATTATTATAAGATTTAATTTGTATTTAATATTCAAATTGATAAATATTTTGTCCGTCAAAATGCCTTACATTTTGCCAATCAAGAACTATTTGTCTCTGAAATGCAGAACAATGTTGATAATGAATAATTTCTCTTGCATGTAATGTGCTGCAAAGATAATACTGATAATTGCCTTTTTTTTAACTGGAAAAGAAAAATAGAATCTCCTTATTAACTCCTCGTTTTACTTGATGAGATACTTACTTACTAAAACAGTTTGGAATATGGCAGAGAGAGATTCTGCCATGGATGGCCTAAAGCATTTCTCCCCCAAAGTATTTTATTTAAAATGGCTGGAAATTGAATTGAATCTTGAACATTGCATAAGCTTATATCAGCTGAGGATCAAATTCAGAAATTGTTGTTTAATTTAAACCAATGCCCAGATATTTTTAGGGGCAGAAAGGGTTCAGAGGCCATGTAGTCCAGTCCCTTCCTTGGTGCAGGTTTTGTTTTTGTTTTTGTCTTAGTCTTTTTTCCTTTACACTAATTCTAATATTGTTCCTCTTAGCAGATTTTAACCTAAGAATATAAATAAAACATAGAATTTCAGGCTATAGTTACAGCTTAAAGATTTTATTCTGCTTTTATAATTCATGAAATTATGAATTGTTTTTCCTTTAAGTTGACAAAAAAAAACCATAAGTCTCTACTAAATACTCTATAACAGTGGTTCTTAGACTGGGGGTTATTACCCCCCAAGAAGTAATTTGGGCATATATTGGAGCAACTTGTAATTACTTATTTGTGAATCCAGGATCCAATATACTGTTGTATAAAACAACCAAGTGGTTTTTTTGTGAGAGCAATGATATTATCTGAAACTGGAAAAAGAAGCTGTTAGGTCAAACAATGTACGAGCGACTGTTCTATTATAATTTATTTTTTTTCACTCAAATATCAGAGTATTAATATAACAAGAGGAATTAACATAATTCTTTTAATATGAATGTGAGCAAACAGTACATTATAACAGGAATATTAAAGTGTCCTAATACAAATTTCATTGTGATAAAGCAGAATTATTTGTTTCAAAGATAGAAAATGTTGATTAGGTTAGTTACATAAATTATATAGTTATGTGTATTTTTATTTTTAGGGTTGCAATTGTCTCTAAGACATTTGAAGGAAAAACTGATAAAAAAGAACGGTGGTATGGAACCCAGTACAAGCAAGAAAAGATTTCTGATGAAGTCATTAAGGTATGTTAAGAGCACTGATAGTGTCTTGTTAGTGGTAACAGATCCAAATATGTGTTTAAAAAATATTTACAGGAAACTATTTTGAATATAAATATTAGCTGTCACTTGTATATGTGCAATGCATAATTTGAAGTTTTTCTCTACCAACTTTAGTTTTATTTGCATTATGTTGGACTTCTTGTTCTGCATATTAGTGTTCCTTTAAAAATTAGATATTTTAAATATAAAAATTTAAAATATTTATTTTCTTAAACTGGTCTATCAAAATCTTACTTGCTTATTTTGATCTTATGTAGTCCAATGCAAAGAACTGAAAGTACAAAAAGTCTGTGTTATTAAAAGAAAATATTTTACATGCAAGTCTGCCTGCTGGTCTAAGAGGAAACCCATGCACAGTTTTGTAATGCATAATAGTTAGCTTATTGCATAGGAGCCAGTTTGATCGTGTTTAAGGTACCAGGACAGAAAGCAGAAGACCATGAGTTCAAGTCCTACCTTAGCTATGAAAGCCAACTGGATGATTTTGGGCCAGTAACTTTTTCTCAACCCAAGCCATCACATAGTTATTCATACAGTGTTTTCCCCGAACGCCATCATTCTGCTAAACAAATAATTCCCTAAACACTGTCCAACTATTTACAAAGTCTGCACTACTATTACTATTAATCTTCTCATCACTCCTTATCACCCATCCCCTCCCACTTGTGACTGTATGACTGTAACTTTGTTGCTTGTATCCTTACAATTTTTATTCACTGTTTCCTAGTATGATTTGATTGTTTATTGTACCCTATGACTGTTATTAAGTGTTGTACCTTATGATTCTTGACGAATGTATCTTTTCTTTTATGAACACTGAGAGCATTTGCACCAAAACAAATTCCATGTGTCTCCAATCACACTTGGCCAATAAAGAATTCTCTTCTCTTCTCTTCTCTTCTCTTCTCTTCTCTTCTCTTCTCTT